TTTTTTTTTTTGTTTATTTGTTTTTTTGTTGTTTTTGTTTTTTGTTTTTTTTTTTGTGTATTGTTTTTTTTTGAATTGGTTTTTTTGATTTTGTGTGGTTGTTTGTTTTGTGTTTGATTTTTTTTTTTTTTTTTTTATTTTGTTTTTTTTGTGTGGATTTGTTGGAATTTTAGTTTTTTTTTTTTTTTTTGTTTTGTGAATTTTTTTTTTGTTAGTTTTTAGTGTTGTTTTTTTTTTGATTGAATTGTTTTTGTTTTTTTTTTTTTGTTGTTTGTTGTGGTTTTGTTTTTTTTTATTGTTTTTTGTTGTTTTTGGTGTTTTGTGTTTGATTTTTTGTGTTTTGAATGTGCTCCTTGATTTTGTGTTTTTGTTTGTGTGTTTTTTTTTGTTGTTTGTTTTTTTTGTGGTGTTTTGTGTTTTGTTTTTTTTTTGTTTTTTGTTGTTTTTGTTTAGTTTTTATTTTTTGTTTGTTTTTTTTTTTGTTTTGTTTTTGTTTTGGTTTTTGTGTTGTGTTTTGATTTGTTGTTGTTTTGTGTTTGATTTGAAATGTGTTTTCTGTGATTGGTTTGTTTTTTGTTTTTTTTTGGTTTTTTTTTTTTTTTTTGTTTTTTTTGTTTTTGTGTTTGTTTGTTTTTTTTGTTTTTTGGTTGATGTTTGTGTTTTGTTGTTTTTTTTTTTTTATTGTTTTTGAGTTGTTTTTGTTTTTTTTTGTTTGGTTTTGTTTTTTTTTTTTTTTTTTGTGTTTTTGAAAAAGGTTTTTTTTTTTTTATTGTTTGTTTTTTTTTTTTTTGTGTGTGATGTTTTGTTTGTGTTTATGTTGTTGTTTTTTTTGTGTGTTCTGGTGATGTGTGATGTTGTTTTTTGTGTGTTTTTTGATTTTTTTTTTGTAATTGTTTTGTGTTTGTTTTTTTGTTTTTTTTTTTTTTGTGTTTTGAGTGTTTGGTGTGTTGGTTTTTTTTTATTTTTTTATGTGATTTTTTTTTTGCTTTTTTTTTGTTTTCTTTTTTGTTATTTTTTTTTTGAACTTTTTTTGGTTTTTTTTTGTTTTGTTTTGTTGGTTTTTGTTTTTGGTGTTTTTTTGTTTTTTTGTTTTTTTTGTTTTTTTTTTGTGTTTTTTGTTTGTGTTTTGTGTTTTTTTTGTTTTTGTGTTTTTTGTTGTTTTGTTTTTGTTTTTTTGTTGATGTGTTTGTTTTGTTTTTTTTTTTTTTTTTGATTGTGTTTTTGTTTTTTTTAGTTTTGTGTTTGGATTTTTTTTGTGTTTGTGTTGTTTTTTTTGAATGGTTGTTTTGTGTTTTTTTTGTTTTGTTTTTTGTTTTTGGGTTTGTTTTTTTTGATGAAGGTTGATTCTGTTTTTGTTTGTGTGGATGGTGTATTTGTTTTTAGTGAATTTTTTTGTGTTTTTTTTTTTGTTTTTTATTTTTTTTGAATTTGTGGTTGTTTTCTGTGTTTTTTGTTTTGATGTTTTTTTGAAATTTGAATTCTTTTTTTGTGATTGTTTTTTTGTTGTGTGTTTTTTGTTGTTTTTGTTGGTTTTTTGTGTGTTTGTTTCTTTTTTGAATTTTTTTTTGTTTGTTTGTTTTTTTTTTTTTGTTGTGATTTTTGATTTTTTGTTGTTGTGTGATTTGTTGTTTTTTTTTTTGTTTTTTTTTTTGGAATTTTGATTTTGTTAGGATTTTTTTTTGTGATTTTGTTTGTGATTTGTTTTTTTTGCGTGTTTTTTTGGTTGTTTTTTTTTTTGTTTTTGTTGTTTGTTTTGTTGTTGGTGTTATTTGTTTTTTTTGTGTTTTTTGTTGTTATGTTTTTGTTTTGTTTGATTTGTTGTGTTTGAGTGTTTGTTGTTTGAATTTTTTTGTTTTGATTTGAAATTTTGTTGATTGAATTGTGAATGGTTGTGTTGGTTTAGTTGTTTTTTTTTGTTTTGGTTTGATTTTTGGTGTTTTTTTGATTTGAATTTTTGTTTTTTTTTTTTGTTTGATTTTGATTTGTATTTTTTTTGTTGTTTTTTGTTTGTTTGATTTAGTTGTGTTTTATTTTTTTGTTGGTTTTGATGTTTCTTGAAGGTGTTTTGGTGTTTTTGTTTTTGGTTTTGTTATGTTGTTTTTGTTGGATGTTTTTGATTTTTTTTTTTTTGATGATTTTTTTTTTTGTTGTTGTTTGTTTTGTTTGTTTTGATTTTGTTTTTGTTGTTTAGTTTGTGTGATTTTGGTGTTGGTGTGTGGTGTTGTTGATTTTTTGTTTTTTTTTTTTTTTTTTGTGTTGTTGTGTTGTTTTTGTTGGTGTTTTGTTGTTTTGTTTGTTGTTTTGTTTTTGTTTTTTGTTTGTGTTTGGTTTTTTTTTTTTTTTTTTTGTTTTGTGTGTTGTTGTGAATGAAATTGATTTGGTTTTTTGTGATTTTTTTTTGAAATTTTGAAGTTGGTTTTTTTTGTTTTGTTGGTTTCTTTTTTGTGGATGTTGTTTGTGTTGTTTTTTTTGTTTTTGTTTTTTGTTGTTTATGTTGTGTGTTGAATTTTTTTTTGTTGTGTTGATGTGTTGTGTTTGGTTTGTTTTGTGTTTTTGAATGTGGTTTTTGTTTTGTTTGAATAATTTTAGTGTTTTTTTTTTGTTGTGGAATGTGTTTTTTGTTTGTTTTTAGTGTTTTTGTGTTGTGATGTGTTTTTGTTGTGTGTGTTTGAATTGTGTTTGTGTGGTTTTTGGTTTTGTTTGTTTTGATGTTTTGTTGTTTTGTTTGTTGTTGTGTTTGATTTTTTTTTTTTTTGTTTTGTGAGTTTGTTTTTTTGGTTTGGATGTGTTGTTTTTGTTGTGTTTTTTTTGTGTTTGTTTGTTTTTTTGTGTATTTTTTTTTTTGTGTTTTTGGTTTGTTTTTTTTGGTTTTTGTGTTATGTGTTTTTTTTTTTTGTTGTGTGATTGATTTTTGTGTTTTTTTTTTTTGTTTGTTGTGTTGTTTTTTTGTGTTGTTTTTGTTTTTTTTTTGTTGTTTGTTTTTTTTTTTTTTGTGTGTGTTTTTGTTGTGGTTTTTGTTTTTGTTTTTGTGTTTGAATTTTTTGATTTGTTTTGAAATTTATTTTTGATTTTTTTTGAATGTTTGTTGTTTTTTTTGTTTTGATAATGTGATTGTTATCTGTTTTTTTGGTTTTTTTTTGTTTTTTTGTGTTTTTTTTTTTGTTTTGTTTTTTGTTGATTTGTTGAATTGTTTTGTTATGTTTTTTGGTTTGTTTTTTTAGGGTTGTTTGTTGTTGTTTTGATTTGTTTTTTTTTTTGTGAATGTTTTGTGTGATTTTTTGGATTTTTGATGATTTTGTTTTGAGTTTTTTTTTTGTTTTGATTTGTTGATTTGTTTTGTGTGTTTTTTGTTTTTTTTTGTTGTTGTGTGTAGTGTGAATTTTTTTTTGATTTTTTATTATTGTGGTTGTTTTTGATTTTTTTGTGTTTTTTTTTGATTTTTTTGAATTGTTTTTTTGTTTGTTTGTTTTTTTTTGAATGTTTTTTGTTTGTTGTGTTTTTTTTTTTTTTGATTTTTTGAATGTTTTTGTTTGTGATTTGTAGTTGTTTTTTTTTTATTTGTTTCTTTTTTTGTTTTTGTTTGTGTTTGTTTGTTCTTGTTTGTTTTTTTGATTTTTTTTGTTGGTGTTTTTTTGTTGATTTGTTTGTTGTTTTGTGTTTTTGAAGTGATTTTGTGTTTTTTGTGTTTTTGTCTATTGTGATTTTGTGTGATTTTTTTGGATGGCGTTTGTGTGTTTTTTTTTTGTGTGTTTTTTTTGGGGGGTTTTGTTTTGTTTTTGAATGTTTTTATTTGATTTGTTTGTTTTGTTTTTTTTTTGTTTTTTTGTGTTGTTTGTGTTGTGATGATTTGTGAATTTGTTTTGTTGAATGATTTTGTTTTTTTTTTTTTTGTTGTTTTTTTGGTGTTGTTTTTTTTTGTTTTTGTTTGTTTTTTTTGTTTGCTGATTTTTGTTTTTTTGGTCGAAATGATTTTTTTGTGGTGGTTTTTTTTTTTTTTTGTTTTGAGTGTGTTTTGTTTGTTTGAATTTTTTTTGGTTTTTTGTGTTGTTTTTTTTGTGTTTTTTTGGTTGTGTTTGTTTTGTTTGGGAGTTGTTGTTGTTTTTTTTTTTTTTTTTTGTTTTTTTTTGTTGTTGTTTTTTTTGTTTTTTTTTTTGAGTTTTTTTTTTTTTGATTTTTTTTTGTGAAATTTGTCTGTTTGTTTTGATGTGAATTTTTTTTTTTTGTTGTTTTGTTTTTGTTTGTTGTTTTTTGTGTTGTTGTTTTTGGTTTTTGTTTTTTTTTTTTTTGAACTTTTTTTTTTGTTTTTTTTGTTTTTTTGTTTTTTGTTTTTGTTGTTTGTTTTTTTTTGTTTTTATTTTTGTTTTTTGTTTTTTTTTGTTTTTTGTTTGTATGGTTGTGTGTTTTTTTTTTGAATGATTTTTTTTTGTTTTTTTGTTTTTGTGATTGTTTTTGTTTTGTTGTTTTTTTTTTTTGTTTGGGTTGTTTTGTTTTTTTGATTTTTTTCTATTTTGTTTGTTGTTGTGTTTTGAATTTTTTTTATTTTTTTGAATGTTGTTTGTTGATTTTTTTTTTTTTTTGTTTTTTTTTTTTTTTCTGAATTGAATTGTGATTTTTTGAATTTTTTTGATTTTTTGTTGATTTTTTTGTTTTTTTTGTGTTGGTTTTGTTGTTGTTTTTTTTTTGTTTTTGTTTCTGTTTTGTTGTTTGATTTGTTTGTTTTTTCTTTTTTTTTGTTTTTGTTTGTTGTTGTTGTGTTTTTTTTGTTTTGATGTTGTTGTTTTGAATTGTGTTTTTTTTTTTTTTTTGTTGGTTTTGTTGAGAGTTTGTATTTTTTGATTTTTTTTTTTTTTTTTGGGTTGATGATGTTGTTTTTTGTTTTTTGTTTTTGGTTTTTGATTGTTGTTTTTTGAATTGTGGTTTTGTTTTTTGATTTTGTTTTGATTTGTGTTTGTTTTGGTTTGATTTTGTGTTTTTTTTTGTTTGTTTTTTTTGGTTGTTGAATGTTGGGTTTGTGTTTTTTGTGTGTTTTTGTTGTTGTTTGATCTTTTGGTGTTTGGTTTGGGGTTGTGTATTTTTGTGGGGTTTGATGTTGTTTTTTGGAGGGGGGGGGGTGGTTTTGTGGGGGTGGTGTGTTGGAGTGCTTGGTGGGGTTTTGGTGGGGGGGGGTGGGGTTGGTTTGTGGGGTTGGGGTGGGTGGGGTTGGGGAGGTTAGGTGGTGGGTGGGTGGGTGGGGTGGGTGGGGTGGTTGGGTGGGGGGGGGGGGGGGTTTGGGAGGGGGGTTTTGGTATGTGGGGGTGGGGGGGGTGGGGTGGGTGGGGGGGGGGGGTGGGGGGGGGTTGGGTGGGTGGGTGGGTGGGGTGGGTGGTGTGGGGTGGGGTTAGGGGTGTGTGGGTGGGGGGGGTGGGTTGGTGGGGGGGGGTTGGGATGGTTGTGTGTGAGGGGTGGTGGTGGTTTGGTGGGGGAGGGGTGTAGTGATGGGGTTGGTTGGGGTGGGTGGGGGGTGGGTTTGGGTGGTGGGTGGGGTGGTGGGGGGTTGGGGTGGTAGGTTGGTGGTGTTGGTGTTTGGGTTGGATGGGGGTGGTGGTGTTTGTGTTTTGGTGTTGGGGGGTGGGTGGGGGGGTGGGGGCTGGTGGTGTGTGTGGGTGGGGGTAGGTGTTGGAAGTGGGGTGTTGTGGTGTGATGGCTGGTGGGGGGTGGGGGGGGGGGTGTGGGTGGGGGGGTGGGGGGGGGGGGGTTGTGGTGGTTTGAGGGGGGGAGTGGGTTTGTGTTGGTGGTGGGGTTGTGGTGTTGGTGGTGGGTGGGGTTGGGTGTAGGGGTGGTTGGTGGGTGGTTAGGGTGTGTGGGGGGGGGGTGTGAGGGTGTGTTTTGTGGGTTTGGGGGGTGTTTGGGGGGGTGGAGGGGGGGATGGTGGTGGGGTAGGGGTTGTGTGTTGGTGTGTGGGGTGGGTGGTGGGTTGGGGTTGTGTGGGGGGGGGATGGGGGGGGAGGGTTGGTTGCGGTGTTGTGGGGCGTGGTTGTGTGTGTGGGGTGTTGCTGCTTGGGTGGTGGGTTTGTTCTGTTGGGAGGTGTTGTGGGGTTAGGTTGGTTGAATTGTGGTTGTTGGAGTGTTGGGGGGGTTGGGGGTGTGGTGGTGTGGGGGTGGTTGGTGGTTGGGGGTGGGTTTGTTGTTGGGGTGGGGGGGGTGTGTTGGGTTGGTGTTCGGTTTGTTGGTGGTTGGGGTTGGTGGGGGGTGGGGGGTTGTGTTTGGGGGGGGTGTTTTTGGTGCGGGTGATGGGGTGTGGTGGGGTTGTGGTGGGGATTGTGGGGGGTAGGTGGGGGGGGGGGTGTGGGGGGTGGGGGGGTGTGGTTGGGTTGGGAGGGGGGGGGGGGGGGGGGTGGGTGGTGGGGGGGGGTGGGGGGGGGTGGGGTGTGTGGGGGGGGGGGGTGGGTTGGGTGGTGGTGTGGTTGAGTGGGGGGGGGGGGGGGGGGTTGGGAGGGTGGGTGGGGGTGTGGGTTTGTGAGGGGGGGGGCGGGGTGGGGTTGGGTGGTTGGGGGGGGGGGGTGGGGGGGGGTGGGGCGGGGGGGGGGGTGGGGTGCGGGGGGGGGGGTGGGGGTGGGTGGGGGGGTTGTGGGGGCTGGGTGGGGGGGGGACGGGTGGGATGTGGTGGGGGGGGTGGAGGGGGGGGGGTGGGGTGGGGGGGGGTGGGGGGGGGGGTGGGGGTGGGTGGGGGGGTGTGGGTGGGGGTGGGGGGTGGGGGTGGTTTGGTGTGGTTGTTTGGGTGGGGGGGGGGGTGGGGGGGGGTGGTGGGTGGGGGGTGGGGGGGGGGGGGTGTGTGGTGTTGGGGGTGGTGGGGTGGGTGTGGGGTGGGTTGGTGGGGGGGGGGTATGTGGGTGGGGGGGGTGTGGGTGGGGGGTGGTGGTGGGGTGGTGGGGGGGGGGGGATGGTGGGGGGGGGTTGGGGGGTGTGGGGGGTGGGTGGGGGGGGAGGGGTTGGGGGTGTGTGGGTGTGTGTGTGGTTGGAGGGGGGGGGGTGTGGTGTGTATTTTGGTTTGGGGGGGGTTGTGTGTGTGGGATGGTGGGGGGGGGGGTGGGTTTGGTGGTTTGGGTTGTGTGTTGTGTGGGTGTGTGTGTGGGTGGGGTGGTGGGGGGGTGGGTGTGGTTGTTGTTGTTGGTTTGTGTTTTGGGGGGGTGTGTGGTGTGGTGTTTGGTGGTGTGGGGGTTTTGTGGGGGTGGGGTGTCGGGTATTTGGTTTGGGTGGTGTTGATTGTTGTGGTGGGTGGGTTTTGTTGGTTTTGGGGTTGTGTTGGGGTTGGTTGGGTTGTTGGTGTGTGTGTGTTGTTTTTTTGTTGGTTGTTGTGTGTTTTGATTTTGGTGTGTTTTTTGTGAGTTTGGTGTGGTTTGTTTGTGATTGTTGTGATTGTGTTTGTTGTTTGTGTTGTTTTTTTTTTTTTTGATTTTTTTGTTTTTTTTTGAATTGTTTTGTTTTTTTTTTTGTTTGTTTTGTTGTTTTGTTTTGTTGTTTTTTTGTTTGTTTATTGTTTTTTGTCTGTGTTTTTTTGTATTTTTTTGTTGTGTTTTGTGTGTTTTTTTTGTTTGTTGGTTTTTGTGTGTGTTTTGTTTGTTTTTTATTTGTTGTCTTGATTGATTTGTTTATTGTGACTTTGGTTGATTTTGAATCTTTTTGACTTGTTTGTTGTTTAGTTGTGTTGTGTGTTTGAATTCTGATGATTTTTTTTTTTTGTGTTTTTTTTGATTATTTTGTGTTTTGTTTGTGTGTGGTTGTTGGTTTTTTTAAGTGTAGAATGTTTTTTTTTTTTTTTGTTTGTTTTTTTGTTTTTTGATTGTGTTTTTTTTGTTTTGATGTTTTTTTTGTGTTTTATTTTTTTTGTTTTTTTTGTTTTTTTTGTTGATTTTTGTTGTTTTTGTTTTGTTTTGTGTGTGATTTTGTTGTTTTTTTTTTTTTGTTTTTGTTTGTTTTGTTTTGTGGTTTTTGATGTTTGTTTTGTTTTTTTTTGTGTGTTTTTTGTTTTGGTTTTGATGGTTTTGTTTTGTGGTTGTTTTTTTTTTTTGTTGTTTTTGTGTTTTTTGAATTTGTTTTTTTGTTGGTTTTTGTGTTTTTGTGTTTTTTTTTTTTTTTGTTTGTTTGTTTTTTTTTTTGTTTGTGTTGTTGTTTTGTGTTTTTTTGTGTTTGTTTGTTTTTGTTTTGTTTTTGTTTTGTGTGTGTGTTTGAATTTTTGTTGTGTTGTTTGAATGGTATTTTGCTTTTATTGATGTTGTTTTGTTTTGATGTTTTTTTGATTTGTTTGATTTGTTTTTTTTTGTTGTTTTTGTTTGGTGTTTTTTTTTTGTTGTTTTTTTTTTGATGTTTGTTGGTTTTTGTTTTTTTTGTTTTGTTTTGTTTTGAATGTTTTTTTTTTTGATTTTTTTGTTTTTGTTTTTTGTTGAATTGAATTTTGTGTTATTGATGTTTTTTGATTTTGTGTGTCTATTTTATTTTTTTTTTGTTATTTTTTTTTGTTTTTGATTTTTTTTTTTGTTTTTTTGTTTCATTTTTGTGTTTTTTTTTGTTGTGTTTGCTTTTTGATTTGTTTTGTGATTGTTTTTTGTGTTTGTTGATTGTGTTTTTTGTTTTTTTTTTGATGGTTTGTTTTTTGTTTTTTTTTGTTTTTTTTGTGTTTGTTTTGTGGTGTTTTTTTTTGGTAGTTGAATTTTTTTTTGTTTGTGTGTTGATTGTGTTTTGTGTTGATTGAATTTGTTATTTTTTTTTTTTGTGTTTTTGTTTTTTTGTTGTGTTTTTGTTGTTTTTGTTTTTTTGTTGTGTGAATGTTTTTTTTTTTTGTTTGTTGTTGTTGTGTTTTGTTTTTGTTTTGATGAGTGTGATGTTTCTTTTTTTTTTTTTTTGAATGTTTTTTTGATTTTTGTTTTTGTTTTGTTTTTGATTGTTTGTGTTTTTGTTTTTTTGTGTGTGATGAATTCTCGTGATTTTGTTGTCTTTTTTTGTTTTGTGTTTTTTGTGATGTGTGTTTTTTTTTTTTGTTTTTTGTTTTGTTTTTTTGTTTTGGTTTGATTTTTTTTTTGATGTTTTTTTTTGATTTTTTTGTTTTTTGGATTTTTTGTGTTGTGTTTTGTTTTTTGTTTTTGTTTTTTTTTTTTTTTTTTTTTGTTTTTGTTGTGTGTTTTTGGGAATTTTGTGTTTTGTGATTTGTGATTTTTTTTTGTGTTTTGAATTTTTTTTTTTTTTTTTTGTGTTGGTGTGTTTGATTTTTGAATTTGTGTTTGTGTTGTTTGATGTGATTTTGTTGATTTTTTGTTTTTTTTTGTTTTTTTTTTTGATTTTTTTGTTTTGTTTTTGTTGTGTTTTTTTGTGTTGTTTGTTTTTTTTTTTTGTTTGTTTTGTTTTTGTGTTTTTTTGTTTTTTTTGTGAGTTGGTGATTTGATTTTGTTTGTTTGTTGATTGGTTTGGATTTTTTTGGTTTTTTTTTTTTTTGTTTTTTTGGTGTTGTTTGTTTGTTTTTGAATTTTTTTTTTTTGTTTTTTGTTGTGATGTGAATTTGTTGTCTGTTGGTTTGATATGATTTTGAAATTTTTTTTTGTTGTTGTGTTTTGTTTTTTTTGTTTTTTTTTTTTTTGTTGTTTTTTTGTGTTTTGATTTGAAATTGTGATTTTTTTTTTTTTTGTGTTTCTTTGTTTGTGTTTTGTTTTTGTTTGGTTTTTTGTTTTTTTTTCTTTTTTTGTTGTTTTTTTTTGTTTTGTTGAATGGTGGTTTTTTTGATTCTCTGTGTTTGTTTTGTTTGTTTTGATTGTGTTGTGAATTTTTTTTTTTTTTTGTTTGTGTTTGTTTTTGTTTTTTTTTTAGATTTTTTTTTTTGTTGATGTGGTTTTTTTGTTTGGTGTGTTTTTTTGTGAATGTTTTTGATTTTGTTTTTTTGTGTTTTGTGTTGTGTTTATTTTTGTATTTGTTTGAATTTTTTGGTTTTTTTTGTTTTGTTGTCTTTTGAAATTTTTATTTGTTTTTTTTTGTGATTTGTTGTTTTTTTTTGTTTGTTGAATTTGTGTTTTTTTGTTTTTGTTTTTTTTTGTGTTTTGTTTGTTTTTTGTTGCTGTTTTGTTTTTTGATTTGTTTTGTGTTTGTGGTTTTGTTTTTTTGTTTTGTTGGTGTTTTTGTTTTTTGTGGTTTTTTGTTTTTTTTTTTTTTTTTTTTTTTTTTGTTTTTATTGTTTTTTTTTGTGTTGTTTTTTGAATTTTGTTTTTGTTTTTATTGTTTTTTTTGTGGTATTTTTTTGTTGTTTTTTGATTGGTTGTGTTTTGTGTTTGAATTGATTTTTGTGTTTTTTGTTTTGTTTTGTTGTTGTTTTTTTTTTGTTTTGTGATGTTTGGTGTTGTTGTTTTTTGTGGTTTTGATTTTTGTGTTTGATATGGTGTTTTTTGTGAAATTTTTGTTGGTTGTTTGATTTTTGTGTTGTTTTTTGTTGTGTTGTTGTGATTTTTTGTTTTTTTTGAATTGTTTTTTGTTTTGTTGTGTTTGGTTTTGTTGGTTTGTTTGAGTATTGTTTTTTTTTTATTTTTTTGTTGTTGTTTTTTGGATTTGTTTTTTTGTTGGTGTGTTTGATTTGTTTTTTTTTTTTTTTTTTTGAATGATTTTTTTTTGTTTTTTGAAAGTTTGTGATTTGGGATGTGGTTTGTTTGAATTTTGTTTTGATGTTTGTTTTGTGTTTGATGTTTTTTTTTTTGTTTTTTTTTGTTTGTTTTTTTGCTGTGTTTTTTTTGTTTTTGTTTGTTTTTTTTTTTGTTTTTGTGATTTTTTTTTGTTTGATTTTTTGGTTTTTTTTGTGTTTTGTATGTTTTTTTTTTTGATTGTTGTTTGAATTTTCTTTTTGTTGTTTTGTTTGTTTTGTTTTGTTGTTTTGTGATTGTTTGTTGTGTGTTGTTGTTTTGTTGTTTTTTTTTTTGTTGTTTGTTTTGTGATGTTTTTTGTTGATTTTTTTTGTTTTGTTTGTGATGTTGTTTTTTTGTTGTTTTGATGGTATTTTTGATTTTTTTTTTTGATGTTGTTGTTTTTGTTGGTTTCGCTTTGTTTGATTTGTTTTTTTTTTTTAATTTTGTTTTGTGTGTTTGAATTTGTTTTTTTTTGGTCTTTTTGATTTTTGTTTTTTTTTGAGGTGTTTTTTTTTTTTTTTTTGTTTTTTTGTTGTTTTGATTTGTTTGTTGAATGTGTTTCTTTTGTTTTTTTGGTGAATTTTTTGAGGGTTATTTTTTTTATTTTGTGTTTTTTGTTTGATTTTTGATGATGTGGTTTTGTTTTTTTTTTTGTTTGTGTGATTGTTTTGTTTTTGGTTGTTTTGGGTTTTTTTTTTGTTTGTGTTTTTTTTTTTTTGATGTTGTTTTTGTGTTGTTGTTGTGTTTTTGTGTTTTTGTGTTTTTTTTTTTTTGTGTTTTTTTGTTTTGGTGTTGTTGTTTTTTTTGTTTGTTTTGCGACTTTTGATGTGTTTTTGTTTTTGTTTTGATTTGGTTTTTGATTTTTTTTTTTTGTTTTTTTTGATTTTTTGTTTGTGTTTATCTATTTTTTTTTGGATGATTGTTTTTGTTTTTCTGTGTTTGTTGTTTTGTTTGTTGTTTTTTGAATTTTTTGTTGAATTTTTTGGGGTTTTTTGTTTTGATTTTTTGTTTTTTTTGTTTTTTTTGGTTTTGTGATTTTTTTTGATTTGTTATTGTGTTTTGTGATTTTTTTTTTGTTTTTTTGTTGTTTTGTTTTTGTTTGAATTTTGTTTTGTTTTTTTTGTTTTTTTGTTGTTTATTTGATGTGTTGTTTTTTTGTTTTTGTGGTTTTTTGTTGTGTTTTTTGTTGTTTTTTTTTGGTTTTTTTGTTTCTTTGATGTTGTTTTTGGTTTTGATTGTGTTTGTTTGTTTTGGTTGATTGTGGTTGTTGTTTTTTGTGTTATTTTTTTTTTGTTGGTGTGTGGTTGTTTTTTTTTTTTGTTTGTTTTTTTTGATTTTGTTTTTTGTGAAATTTTTGTTTGAATGTTTTTTTTTTGTTTGTTGTGATTGTTTTTTTTTTGATGTGAAATTTGTTGTGTTGTTATTTTTTTTGTTTGTTTTGTTTGTGGTTTGATGTTATTTTGAAATTTGATTTTTGTTGTGATGTTTTTTTTGATTTGGTTGTTTGATTTTGTTTTTTTTTGGTTGAATGTTTTTTTTTTGGTTTTGTTTGTGATTTGTTAGATTTTGATTTTTGTTTGATTTTTTTTGGTTGTTGTTGGTTGTGGTTTGTTTTGGTGTTTTTTTGTGTTTTTTTTTTTTGATTTTGTTTTTTTTTTTTTTGATGTGATTTGATTTTTGATTGATTGAATTGTTGTGTATTGTTGTTTTGATTTTTTTTGATTTTGGTTTTTTGTGATTTGTTTTTTTTTTTTTTTTTTTTTTTTTTTTGATATTTGTGTTTTTTTTTTTTTGGGTTTTTTTTTGTTGTTGTTCGTCTGATTTTTTGTTTTTTTTTTTGATGGAATTGTTTTTTTGTTTGTTTTTTTTGTTTTTTTGTTTTGTTTTTTGTTTTTTTTTGTTTTTTTTTTGTTTGTTGTTTTTTGGTTGAATTGTTTTTTGTTTTTTTCTTTTTTTTTTTGTTTTTGATTTTTTTTTTTTTGTGGTTTATTGTTTTTTTTTTGATTTTTTTTTTTTGTTTTTTTTTTGAATGTTTTTTTTTTTGTTTTTTTTTTTGTTGTGTTTGTTTTTTTTTTTTTGTTGTTTTGTTTGATTGATTTTTTGTGAGTTTGTTGATTGTTGTTTGTTTTTGTTTTTTGTTTTTTTTTTTGTGAAAATGTTTTTTGTTGTTTTTTTTTTTTTGTTATTATTTTTTTTGTGTTTTTTGAATTTGTTTTTGTGTTTTTTTTTTTTGTGTTGTGTGTGATTTGTTTGTTTTTGTGTTGAATTGTTTTTGATTTGTTTTTTTTTTGGTTGTGTTTTTTTTTGTTTTTTTTTGTTGTTGAGTTTTTCTTTTGTTTGATTTTGAATTTTTTTGTGTTTTTTGTGTTGTTTTTTTGTTTGTGTTGTTTTGTGTTTGTTTGTTTTTTTGTGTTTGTGATTTTATGTTGTTGGTTGTTTTTTTGCTTTGAATGTTTTTTGTTTTTTGTTTGATGTTTTTTGAATTTATTTTTTTGTTTTTGTTGTTTTGTTTGTTTTTTGAGTTTTTTGTTTAAGTTGTTTGTGAAATTTTTTTTTGTTTGTTGAATTGTGTTTGTTTTTTGTTTTTATGCTTTTTTTTTTTTTTTTTTTTTTTGTTTTGTTTTTGATTTGATTTGTTTTTTTTTGTTTTGTTTTTTGTGATTGTTTTTTTAGTTTGTTGTTTTTTTGAATTAGGTTTGTTTGTTTTGAATTGGTTATTGTTTGTTGTTTTTTGTATTTGTTTGAGTTTTTTTTGTGTTTTTGTTTGTTTTTTTGAAGTGTTTTGTTGTTTTTGTTGTTTTTTTTTTTTTTTGATTTTTTGAATTTTGTGTTTTGTTTGTGAAATTTGATTTTTGTTGTTTTGATTTTTTTTTGTTTGTGTTTTTTGTTTTTGTTTTTTTTTTTTTTGTTGTTTTTTTGTGTTTAGTTTTTTTGTGTTTTTTTGGTTGATTGATTGTGTTTGATTGTTGTTTGATTGGTTTTTTTTGTTGTTGATGTGTTTGTTTTTGTTTGTTTGTTTTGTTGATTGTTGTGTTTGTTTGGTTTTTTTTTGTTTTTGGTTGTTATGTGATTGTTTTTTTTGATTTTGTTTTGAATGATGTGATTGGTTGTGTGTTGTGTGTTTGTTTTTTTTTTTTTTTGTGTTGTTGTTGTTGATGTGTTGTTGTTTTCTTTTTATGTTGTTTTTTTTTTTGTTTGTTGTTTTTTTTCTTTTTTTTTTTGTTTTTTTTGTTTTTTTTTGTGTTTTTTGTTTTTGTGTTTTTTTTTTGTGTTTTTGTTTTTTTTGTGAATGTTTTGTTTTTGTTTTTTTGATGAATGTTTTTTTGTTGAATTTGTTGTTTTTTTGTTTTTTGTTGTTTGTGTTTTTGTTGTTTTTTTGTATTTTTTTTTTTTGTTTTTTTTTTGTGTTGTTGTTTTTTTTTGTTTTTGTTTTTTTGTTTAGTTAGGTTTTTTGTTTTTTTTTTTTGTGATTTTTTTTTTGTGTTTTGTTTTGTGTTTGTTTTGGTTTTGTTTTTGTTTTGATTGTTGTATGGGTGAAAAATTGTGTGTTTGGTTGTTTTTTTTGGGTATGTTTGATTTTGATGTTTTGTTGTTTGTGTTTTTGTGTGTTTGTTTGTTTTTTTTTTTGTTTTTTTGTGTTTTTTTTTTTTTTTTTTGAAATTTTTTGTTTTTTTGTTTGTTTTTTGAATGTTAGTTTTTTTTTTTTTTTTTTTTTGTGGTTTTTTGTGTGTTTTTGTTGTGATTGTGTTGTTTTTTTTTGTGAATGTGTTGGTTGTTTTGTTTGTTTTTTTTTTTTTTTTGGTTTTTTTTTTTTTTTTTTGTATCTTTGTTTTTTTGTTTTGTATTTTTTTTTTTTTTGTTTTGTTTTTTTGTTGTTGGTTGTGTTTGTGTTTTTTTTTTTTGTTTTTTTTTTTGTTGTTTTTTTGTTTTTTGTGTTATGATTTGATGGTGTTGAATGTTTTGTTTTTGTTTTTTTTTTTTTTGTGTTTGTTTGTTGATGCTTGAATTTGTGTTTTTTGTTTTTTTTGTTGTTTGTTGTTTTGTGGTTTTTTTTTTGTTTGTTTTGATTTTTTTTGTTGTTGAATTTTGATTTTGGTTTTGTTGTGTTTTTGGGTTTTGTTTTTTTTTTTTTGTTTTGTTTATTTTTTTTTTTGTTTTTGTTGAATGTTGGTGTTTTTTTGTGGTTGTTTGTTGTTTTTTATGTTTTTGTGTTTTTGTTTTGTTTTTTTTTTTGCTTTGTTGTTTGTTTTTTTTTTTTTTTTTTGTTTTGTTTTTTTTTTTTTTTGTTTTTTGATGTTTTTTTAGTGTTTTGTTTTTTTTTGTTGTTTTTTTTTTTTTTTTGTTGTTTGTTTTATGTGTTGCTTTTTTTTGTGTTTTTTTTGTGTGATTTTTGTTTTGTTTGTTTTTTGTGTGTTGATTTTTTGGTGTTTGATTGTTTGGGGTGATTTTGTATGTTTTTTGTTGATTTTTTTTGTTTTTTGTTTGTTTTTGTTTGTTTGTGTTTTGATTTGTTTTTTTTTTTTTTTTGTATTGTTTGATTGAGTTTTTTTGTTTTGTGTTTTTTGTTTTTTTGGTGTTTTTTTTGTTTTTTTTTTGTTTTTTTTGGATGTGTTGTTTTTTGATGATTTGTTGTTTTTTGTTTTGGGGGGTTTTTTTATTTGTTTTTTTTTTTGTGTTTGTTTTTTGTGTTGATTTTTTTTTTGAGTTGATGTTTGTTTGTTGAGTTTTTTTGTTTTTTTTTTGTTTTTGATTTTGTTGATTTGTTTTGTTTGGGATTGTGTGTTGATTGTGTATTTTTTTTTTGTTTTTGTTGTTTGTTTTTTTGTGTTTTGTTGTGTTTGTGTGTTTTTTTTTTTTTTGTGTTTTTTGTGTTTGTTGTTTTTTGAATCGTTGTTTGTTTTTTTTGTTTTTGTTGGTGTTTTTTGTTGTTTTTTTGTTTTTGTTTTTGAATTTGTTGTGTTCTTTTTTTGGTCTTGTTGTTTTTTTTGTTTTTTTATTTTGTTGTTGTGGAATTGGTTTTTTTTTTTGATGTTTTTGTTTTTTTTTTTTTTTGTTTGTTTTTTTGTGATTTTTTGGTTTTGATTTTGTTTTTGTGATTGTGTGATTTGTTTTTTTATTTTTTGGGGGGGGGGGGTTTTTTTTTTTTTTGATTTTTTTTATGTTGTTTTGTTTGTTTGATTGAATTTTTGTATTGAATTTGTTTTTGTGACATTTTGTTTTTTATTTTTTATTTGTTTATATAATATGTTTTTGTTCTATATTTATATATAATAATATAATTTATTTTATTAAAAAAAAATGTTTAAATAAAAAAATAAAAAATAAAAATAAAAAAAAATAATAAAAATATTAAATAAAATAAAACACACCCCCCCCACCCCCACCCCCACCCCCCCCCCCCCACACACCCCCCCCCCCCCCCCCCCCCCAACCCCCCCCCCCCCCCCCACCCAAAACCCTCCTCCCCCCCCCCCCCCACCCCACAACCCATACAATAAAACACTAAAAAAACAAATTTTGAATTGTTTTTTTGGTTTTTTTTGTTTTGATGTGAATTGTTTGTGAAATGGAATTTATTTTGTGTGTTTGTTTTTTTTGATTGTTTTTGTTTTGGTGTTTTTTGTTTGTTGTTTTTGTTTGTGTTTTTTTTTTTTTTGTTGAATTGTTTGTCTTTGTTTTTTTTTTTTGTAATGTTTTTTTGTTTTTTTTTTTTGTTTTTTTTTTGTGGTGTTTTTGTTTGGTTTTTTTTTTTTTTTGGTTGTTTGTTTTTTGTTTTGTTGTTGAAATTTTTTTGTTTGAATTTTGATGTTGATGTTATTTGGTGGGTTTGTTTTTTTTTTTGTGGTTTTTTTGATTTTGTGTTTTTTTGTTTTGTTGTGTTCTTTTGATGTATTGTTCTTTTTTTTGTTTTTTTTTTTTTTTGTGCATTGTTTTTTGTTGAAGGTTTTTTGGATTGTTGTGTTTGTGTTTTTGTTTGTTGTTTTTGTTTTTTTTGGATTGTTGTTTTTTTTTTTTGATTTTGTTGTTGTGAATTTGTTTTTGTTTTGTGTTGATTGTTTGTTGTTTTTTTTTGTTTTGTTTTTTTGTTGTTTTTTTGTGTTTTGGTGTTTGTATTTGTGTTTTGTTTGTTTTTGTTTTTGTTTTTTTTAGATTTTTGTTTTTTTTGATTTGTTTTGTTTGATGTAATTTTTTTTTTTGTTTGTATTATTTTTTTTGTTGTTTTTGTGTTTGTTTTTTGGTTTTTTTTTTTTTTTGTGTTTGTTGTTTTTTTTTTTTTGTGTTTTGTTTTTGTTGTTTTTTTTATTGATTGTTTTTTCTTTTTGGTTTTGTTGGTTTGTGTGTGATTTTTTGGTTGTTGGTTTTTGATTTTTGTTGTGTGGATAGGTTTGTATTGCTTTTTTTTTTTGTTTGCTGTTTTATTTTTTTGTTTTTGTTTTTTGGTTGTTTTGTATTTGTTTTTTTTTTTTTTTTTTGTTGGTGAATTGATTGTTGTTGTTTTGATGGTTTGAATTTTTTTGATGTGTTTTATTTGGTTTTTTTGTTTGTTTTGTTTTTTTTTTTTGTTGATTTTGAATGTGATTTTTTTTTTTGTTTTTGTTTGTTTTGGTTTTTGTTTTTTGATTTGTTGATTTTTGTATATGAATTTTTTTTTATTTTTTTTGTGGTTTTTTTGTTTGTTTTTGAATTTTTTTGTGAATTTTTTTTGTTGTGTTTTGTTTTTGTTTTGGATTTTTTGTTTGTTGTGATTTTTGTTTTTTTTTGTTTGTGTGGTTTTTGAAATGTGTGTTTTTTGAGTTTTTTTTTTTGTTTTTTGTTGTTTTGTTTTGATTTTGTGTTTTTTTTTTGTGATTTTTTGAGTTTTTGTGTTTTGTGTGTTTGTTTTTTTTTTTTTTGTTTTTTTGTTTGTTTTTGTTGTTTGTGTTTTTTTTGTTGAATTTTTTGTTTTTGATTTGTTTTTGTATTTGGTGTTGTTTTTGTTTGTTTTTTGTATTTTTGAATGTTTGTTTTGTTTTTTTTTTTTTTTTTGTGTTGTTGTGTTGGGTGTTTTTTTTTGTTTTCTTTTTTGTTTTTGTTTTTTTTTGGTATTTGTGTTGTATGTTTTTTTTTTTTTTGTTTGGTTTTTTGGTTTTTTTTGTTTTTGAATGTTTTTTTAGTTTGTTTTTAGGATTTTGTGTTTTTTTGTTTTTTGTGTTGATTTTTTTTTTTTTGTTTTTTGTTTTTTTTTTTTTTTGTGATTTTTTTTTGTTGTTTTTAGTTGTTTTTTTTGTTTGTTGGTTTTTGTGTTTTTTTTTTTTGTTGGTTTTTTTTTGTTGTTTGTTGTTGGTTTTTTTTGTTTTTTTTTGTGATTTGAATTTTGCTTGTGATTGTTTTGATTTGTGTTGTTGTTATGTTTAGTTTTTTGTTTTTGTGTTTTTTTTTGTGTTTTTTGGATTTGTGTGTGTTGGGTTTTGTTGATTTTTTTGTGATTTGATGATTTGCTTTTTTTTGTGTTGGTTGTGAATTTTGTTGTTTGTTGTTGAATGTGTTGTGTGTTTTTCGTTTTTTTTTGTTTTTTTGATTTGGTCTTGATGATTTTTTTATGTGATTTGTGATTTTTTTTGAATTTTTTTTTTGTTGTTTGTTTTGGTTTTTTTTTTTTGTTTGTTATTGGTTGTTGATTTTTATGTGTTGAAATTGATTGAATTTTGGGTTTGTTTTTTTTTTTTTTTTTTTTGTGAAATTTTGTTTTGTTTTTGGTTTTTGATGATTTTTTTCTTGTTTGTGTTTGATTGATTTTGTTTTTGTTTGTTGGTTTTTTTTGTTTTTTTTTGTTTTGTGGCGGTTTTTGTTTTTTTTTGTGTTTTGTTGATGTTTTTTTTGTTTTTTTTTTTTTGTTTTTGTTTTTTGTTTTTTTTTTGGTTTTGTTTTTTGATTGAATGTTGTTTGTTGGTTTTTTTTTTTTTTTTTTTTTTGTTTTTTTGAATGTGTTGTTTTGTGTTGTTTGAATTTGTTTGTGTTTGTTTGTTTTTTTTTTTTTTGTTTTTGTTTGTTTGTTTTGTTGTTTTGTTGTTTTTTTTGATTTTTGAATTTGTTTTTTTATTTTGTGTTTTTTGTTTGTGAATTTGATTTTTTGTGAATTGTTTTTTGTTTTTTTTGTTTTTTGAGTTTGTGTTGAGTTTTTGTTTTTTTGTTTTTTTGGAATTTGTTGTGTGTGATTTTTGAAATTTTTTTATTTGAATTGTTTTTTTTTGATGTTGTTTGTCTTTTTTTTGATGTTGTTTGTTGTTTTTTTTTTGTGTGTGCTCTTTTATTTTGTTTTTTGCTTGTGTTTTTGTTTGAATGTTTTTTTTTTTTTTTTGTTGTTTTGGTTTTGTGTAAATCTGTGTTTTGTTTTGTGTTTTGTTTTTTTTTGTTTTGTTTTTTGTCTTTGTGTTTGTTGATTTTTGTTTTTTTTGATTTTTTTTGTTTTTGTTGTGTTGTTTTTTTTTTGTTTGTTTTTTTTGTGTTTTTTTGTTTTTTGATGTTTGTTTTGTTTTTGAATTTTTTTTTGATTTCTTGTGATGTTTATTTTTTTTTTGTTTTGTTTTGTTTATTTTTGTTGATTTGTGTTTTGATTTTGGTTTTTTTGTTGTTGTGATTTTTTTGTTTGTTTTGTTTGGGGGGGGGGGTGGTTTTTTTTTTTGTTTTTTCTTTTGTTTTTTGTGTGGTTTTGTTTGATTTTTGATTTTGTGTTGTGTTTTTTGTTTTTTTTTTGTTTTTTTTTTTTTTGATGTGTTTTTTGTTGTTTTGTTGGTTTTTTTGTTTTGATTTTTATTGATTGTGGTTTTTTGTTATTTTTTTTGAATTGTTTGTTTATGATTTTTGTTTTTGGTTGTTTCGTGTTTTTTTTTTTTTTTTTTTTGTTTTGATTTTGTTTTTTGTTTGTTCTGTTTTTTTTTTGTTTTATTTGTGTGTGTTGTGATTGTTGTTTTGAACGTGTTTTTATTTTGTTTTTTTTTGTTTTTTGTTTTGTTTTGGCTTTGGATGATTGTTTTTTGTGTTGTTTGATGTGTATGATTGATGGTTGTTTTGTTGTTTTCTTGTTAGTATTTTTTTTTTGTTTGATTTTTTTTTGTTGTTTTTTGTTTTTGTTGTGTTGTTTGTTTTGATTTTGTTGTTGTTTTGTTCTTTTTTTTTTGGTTTTTGGTTTTGATGTTGATGTTGGATTTTTTTGATTTTTGTTTGTGAGTTTTGTTTTTTGTTGTGTTGTTTGTGTTTTTTTTTTTGTTTTTTCTTTTGTTCTTTTTTTTGTTTGTGTTTTATTTGTTCATTTTTTTTTTTGTTGTTTTTGTTTTTTGTTTTTGATTTTGTTTGTGTGCGTTGATTTTGTTTTTTGTGTGTGTGTTTTTTTGTTTTTTTTTTTTTTGTGGTGTGGTTGAATGTTTTTTTTTTTGGTTGATTTTTTTTGTTTTTTTTTGTTGAATTCTGGTTGTGTTTGTTTGATGTTTTTTTGAATGTGTTTTGATTTTTTTTGTTTATTGTTTGTTTTTTTTGTTTTTGATGTTGTGTTTTTGTGTTGTTTGAAAACTCAGTGGGAATAATACGGCAGGAGGCTATGTAGCAGCTCCAAGTCATGGTTGCATATCACAGATTTCACAGTCAGATGGTTGGATGGCACCACCGCTTGTTTTCATTACAGGATAGGCCCGCCTTTGATCTTTCCCGATAGATCTAGGATCCCGGTTGCCGCACGGTGGAAATGGGCAAGGTCTACGTTAGGTGGGTCGTGGTAGTTTAAGCCATGTCTCATGATAGATGGTGTAGGCTGCTCTTCTGTAGCTCCTTGGGCTCTTCCGATCAGCGCGGTGGTAAGTTCATCCAGCTTATTAGATAGGGTATTAACATCAATGACCAAAGGGGGAATGGGTGGTTAAAACTCTCCGTTTGGCAATATTAGCATTGATTTGTATTCCTACAGGTTACAGACCGGCACGGCAGCCCCTGGTACTTACGCTTAGCTCCAGTGGAAATCATATGGGTAAGTAGTTTGGTATTGTCTCTTAGTGCCAGTAACTTTCTTCTTGAGTAATTAGTCTAATCTATGCCAGCTGCTAGTGGTGACGTTAAAGTGAAAGTATGTCAACAAACACATAAGTTTCAAAAAACTGGTCGAGCAAAAGACGTGCTAGCCCCCCTCCGCGCAGGGCGAGTCAAGTGATAGAAGAATGGAAGCAGAGATAGACAAAACACAGACCATAGTTTGTTTATTGTTGTTATTTTTTCTGCCTAAAAATGGATTAAAAAGGGATGTTATCGTTGTTATAACACAAACACCTCCATCCCCCTTAAGAAAGAGTAGTGTGAGGGAGGGATGAGACAAATATTTTCACAAGTGGATTTTCACAATACTTTGTTACAGTGGAAATTTGTACTATTATTTTGTTTAAATGTCGACTTTTAAAGGATAATTAGTTCTTTACAACATTTCGCCATATTTCAGGCTTCAAACATAAAGTTTTTTGTCATGAATCAACAACAAGTGG